ATTTTTCACATTTTCTCAAACTCAAACACCCATAGGCGATTTTCCAAGAAATCTTTCTTCTCTAAATCAATTGTAAGTTAATTTCTACTCAATTCCTTCAACCATTAGCATCATTTAACATGTTTTTCACTTAAAATCAATGATTTTCATGGGTGAAATTGGGGGTTTTGGGTAGAACCTAGATTTTCTAAAAATTGGGGATTTGGACCTCAATTTGAGGTCCGATTTCAAAACAATTTACATATTTGAGTTCGTGGGGGAATGGGTAACCGGGTTTTGGTTCGAACCTCGGGTTTTGACCACGTGGGCCTGGGGGCAATTTTGGAATTTTTGGAAAAAACTTTGGAAAACTCATTTTTATGCATTCAAAGTGATTCATTTAATGTTTATTAAAGCAATTAAGTAATTTGTGACTAGATTCGAGCGGATTGGAGGTGGAATTACGGGGTAAAGCCATAGTTGAGGCTTGAGTTGAGTTCAAGGCATCGAGGTAAGTGTTTGGTTTAACCCTAGCTTGAGGGAATAGGAGTTGAGTCTTATTTGTAACTTGCTAATTGTCGAGTACGATGTATAGGCATGGTGACGAGTATCTATACATTGGTGTCTAGCATGACCGTGAGTCCTTGTTTTGCAAATAGTTTGGTCGAGCCTCGCTGTTATCCGCTACATTTAAATGGGTCTGAGGTTGAATCATTTTTTTAATCCGTTCTTAGCAAAGGGCGAAGAAAAAAAAGAAATATTTTTGTCCAAAAAAAAGAAACATGCGGTTTTGTTTCATATCTAAGAGCCCTTTCTACATTTTTCTCTATTACATTACGAAATAATGAATTGAGTTCGTATAGGCATTTTGGATGCTGCTAGTGAAATAGCTTGTTATGCCTTCCATGCTTAAATGATGACTTCTATATGTTGTAAAGATCTTGTGTAAGAGATTGTGATCTTTGAACTTCGTGGAGCATTGGCTCGGGTTGAAATACAAATTGTGAAGGTATATGAGATAAGTAACTCCTTGGAGCATTGGCTCAAGTGATGATGTGAACTTTGAGATGAAAGTGAAAGAAAGAGAAGAGTTAATGATTTATTCCCTTGACGGGACGTTGTTGGTTATTGATGTTGTACCCTTGCCGGGTTTTATTTGTTTGTTGTGTACCCTTGCCGGGACTTCCATTCTTGTTTTATTATTCCCTTGCCCTTGTTTGTGATTCGTTGATTGGGTGAGGAAGAGTGTTAAAGCACGAAGGGTGATGTCGTGCATGGAATGATATTTGTGGATCGGGTTGCGCGCCGCAACAATGCTAAATGATATGGATCGGGTTGCACGCCGCAACAATGATATTTGTGGATCGGGTTGCACGCCGCAACAATGCTAAACGATATGGATCGGGTTGCACGCCGCAACAGTGTTGTTATATATTGGGATCGGGCTGCGTGCCACAACAATTATTGATACAAGTGTGTTTATTTTGGATATTAGTCTCTTGTCCGCTGTAAATTCTAAGCTGCCTTTAGACTGTTACTCTGGATTTACTGTTAATACCGTTATCTCCCACAGCATGCTTCCCCTCCCCTATTGTTTACTTGTCTTGTATTTCGGTTCTACTGTATGTATACAACTGCACAGGTTTATGTGGTGGTCCAGTCTAGCCTCGTCACTACTTCGCCGGGGTTAGGCTAGACGCTTACCAGCACATGGGGAGTGATATCACTTTTTAGGAGGCGGCCAATGTGGCCCGGAGGATTGAGACGGTATTATCGCAGGGGGTGGTCATGGGGGAGACAAGAGAGCCCGTCATTCCGGCAGATTCAGTGGTACCTCGTCTGGAGGTAGAGATTCATATGGTAGAGGCCATTCTCCTAGGCCCTTTCAGTCAGCTCTCCAGGTTTCTCACGGTGCATCAGGTGGCAATGGTTCTCAGGCACATTATTCTGATCAGTAGGCATTCAGTGCACCGCCAGCTCCTATCAGCACACCGCCACTTCAGAGTTTCCGTGGGGTTCATTCAGGTCGCCACGGTCAGCCTCAGTTTCCTCAGCCACAGCGTTCGGATGGATGTTATGAGTGTGGTGAGTATGGACACATCAGGAGGGCTTGCCCGAGGTTGAGGGGTACTCAGTCGCAGCAGCAGGGTCCCTGTCCTATGATTCAGGCACCAGATGCTCCACAGCCAGCCCAGCCAGCTAGAGGCGGGGGTAGAGGTACTAGAGATGGAGGTAGAGGTCATAGAGGTGGAGCTCAGACCACCAGGGGTGGAGGCCATCCAGTAGCAGATCGACCTAGAGATATGGTTCAGAGTGGTGGGGCCCAACCCCGATGTTATGCTCTTCAGGCTACGCCCGAGGCAGAGGCTTCAGATGCAGTCATTACAGGTACGGTTCTGGTTTGTGATCGAGATGCTTCGGTACTATTTGATCCAGGGTCTACGTATTCATATGTTTCATCTTATTTCGCACCATGCTTGGTCATGCCTAGTGATGCATTGGGTGTTCCTGTATATGTGTCTACACCGGTGGGTGACTCTATCGTAGTCGACCGAGTCCATCGTTCGTGTGTTGTAGTGATTGGGGGTCTTGAGACCCGTGTAGACTTGTTGTTCTTAGATATGGTTGACTTCGATATCATTCTGGGTATGGACTAGTTATCACCCTATCACGCTATCTTGGACTGTCATGCCAAGACGGTGACCTTAGCTTTACCGGGTATGCCTCGTTTAGAGTGGAGAGGGACTCCAGGTCATTCTACCCGCAGTGTCATATCGTATGTGAAGGCTCGGCGTATGGTCGAGAAGGGGTGTTTGGCTTATTTAGCTTATGTTCGGGATTCCAGTGTTGAGGTTCCCTCTATCGATTCTGTGCCCGTTGTTCGTGATTTTCCTGATGTTTTTCCTTCAGACCTGCCGGGTATGCCACCCGACAGGGATATGGATTTCTGCATTGATCTGGCTCCAGACACCCAGCCCATTTCTATTCCGCCATATCGTATGGCCCCGCCGGAGTTGAAAGAGTTAAAGGACCAGTTGCAGGATTTGCTTGAGAAGGGTTTCATTAGGCCTTCATTAGAATATCGCAATTAGGCATGTTTTGTTTGAATATTGTATTTCAATTAGAGTAGTGTGGTATTTTTTATTTGAATACTATATTCCAAATTAGAAATTGTGATATATTTGATTTTAATATTGTATTTTTATTAGAATATTGTAATATGTTGGTCGGAATACTATATTCTAATATTGTATTTGATTTGGATGATTACACAATAGAAGAGAAGAATAAAAAAGATGGAGGACTCCATTGGACAAACAAATGGGGAAGAAGTATTATCTTGTCCATAATAAATCTGCATTACTGTAATTAAATCTCAGTTCTAAAGTACTCTGTCATCTATTGATTGATTAACGATACTTTCAATGAGCCTAGTTAAGAAGAAAAAATAACCGACGAACTCAAGCTGATGTCGTGTAGTAATTATATTTTTTTTCTTTAATGAAAAATCCTAAAGAATGTGACTAAGATTAATGATGTTTTGGTTTTTAAAATTCTGAATGTCTATTTTGGGCTAAGGGCGTTCGGCATGCCAAGATTTTATTTGACTGAAGATAGAAGATACGTGAGATAATCAGTGAGAGATATTCTAGTTCCTTGAAAGGTGGAATTTGTTTAGTGGCATATAATGATATTAAATTTTTTAAAATGAAATAAACTTTTATAAAGTAGGTATACAGGGTAAAATAAATATTTTAAAAGTATATGTAGTTAACTGGTGTTTCTAGTAGGATACCGCGTAGATTTCTCTTAAATATACTTTAGCTATGTAGAATTCACAAGGGTACAGCATGATAGAATTATGCGGAGCTACCTTATTAAGTGCGGGTTCTGTCAAACCTAATCACTCTGATTAAATATAATATTTGCATATAAAAATATTATATATATATATATATATATATATATATATATATATATATATATATATATATATATATATATATATATATATAAAATTCAGTAACTAAAACGAGACTTTGCCTCCGTAGACAATTATGCATCCATCAAAATTGAATACATGCAACTTCCTAGCACCTTAGTAGGGTTTTCCCTATTTATTCCGTTGACTGTTACGACAAGCGTCAACATCCTTAATGAATAGTACTAATGGTATCGACTGTCATTTGATTTTGTGGTTCGTTATATTTTTTTTTCAGTTTTATGTCTAATTATTTTTAAAATGATTTATTTTTAAACCTTAGAGATATAAAAATAAAAGACAAAAGATTGTGAATATATTTATTTTAACAGACACAGCTAAAATTGGTTTAATTTCTTTGTAACACTTGTCTCATAGATCATGATGTTACGTTGGTCCCCTTTGGACTTGGTCTTTGACATCGTTGGCATGCCTTACTCCCTAGAATTTTCAACCGGGCAACATGTAGGTCAACATTTATTGAACAGCTTAATAAATCACAATAATTTCATTAGCTGAGTTGAAAATTAAGAGTATATTGACAAGAGTATAATTGACCCCAGCTTTAAACAGAGGGACAATTTTGGACATTTCCCCGTTAGGATAAGCATCGATAATATTTGAATGTGGCCCATTATTCATTCCAGCCATTACTACCATTACGCCAGTGGACAACTTTATATCAATCATTCCTCCAAAAAGAAAAGTCAAATATGTACAAATTTTACAGGGAACAAACTATACTTCAATATCAGACTAGTCAATTGTTATGCTAATAATCAATCGGATATAGCATGTAATTCTATCCTACTCTCATTCACAATAATGATACAATAAATTTCTTTTTTTTAGGTTTCCCACTCGTTGTCCGTTACCCACATTGGAGCCCGACTAAATGCGGACTCGTGCCGGAAAGTCTCACATTAGGGGTAAAGCGTTCCCTAACAAAGGCGACTCTATACTCAGGGACTCGAACCCGAGGTCGACCTCTGGTTAAGGATGAAGGAGTACTTACCACTCCACCACAACCCTGGTTGGTAATGAAACAATAACTTTCACAGAGGAAGTACTATAAGTAGTAGCTCCAAATTAAACTGAAAAATATATCAAATTCACTTTCATAAAAAGTTAGTATCCCATTTCCAGCCATGGGATTCTTGAAAATCATTCTATTTTGCATTGTTTGCTCTTTCCCATGGCCTAGTTTCCAGAGTGATTTAGAGACTTATATAGTCCAAGTTGAACCACCAGAAACCCAAATTTGTACTCAATCATCATCATTGGATTTAGAGAGCTATTACCATTCTTTTTTGCCTAAAACTACAGCAATTAACTCAAGGGACAATGAAGAGCCAAGAATGATATATTCCTATCACAATGTGATGAGAGGCTTTGCAGCTAGATTAACTGCAGCACAAGTGAAGGAAATGGAGAAGAAACAAGGCTTTTTTTCTGCGCGGCCACAGAGGATATTGTCCTTGCAAACTACTCATACTCCAAGTTTTCTTGGTTTGCAACAGAACATGGGCTTGTGGAAGGATTCCAACTATGGGGAAGGCGTGATCATTGGAGTTTTGGACACTGGGATTTTCCCTGACCATCCTTCATTTAGCGACGTTGGGATGCCTCCCCCGCCTGCTAAATGGAAAGGAGTTTGTGAGTCCAATTTCACGACAAAGTGTAATAACAAGATCATAGGACTCAGGTCTTTTCGATTATCTGAAGGTTCCCCGATAGATGATGATGGACATGGTACACACACAGCTAGCACAGCTGCAGGAGCTTTTGTGAAAGGTACCAATTTCTTTGGGAATGCAAATGGCACAGCAGTTGGTGCTGCCCCTCTTGCCCACATAGCCATATATAAAGTATGCAGTTTTGCTACTTGTAGTGAAACTGATACTTTAGCTGCCATGGATGCAGCTATAGATGATGGTGTAGATATCATTTCCGCATCTCTTGGCGGATTTAGTAACGCTCCATTCCATGATGACCCTATTGCTCTTGGGGCGTACAGTGCAACAGAAAGAGGTATTCTTGTTAGTTGTTCTGCAGGCAATCGCGAGTTTGATAGCTCTGTAGCAAATAGTGCCCCTTGGATTCTCACAGTTGGCGCTAGCACTCATGATAGAAAACTAAAGGCCTCTGTTAAGCTTGGAAATAAAGAGGAATTTGAAGGAGAAACTGCTGATCAGCAAAAGACCTCCAACTCAACATTCATCGCTCTATATGATGCTGGAAAGAATGCAAGTGATCAAGATGCTCCATTCTGTAGATCGTGGGCGATGACTGATCCTGCTATCAAAGGTAAGATAGTCTTGTGTCGAAAAGATGCAAGTAGTCTCACCAGTAGTCAAGGACGAAATGTAAAGGACGCTGGAGGCGTTGGCATGATTCTCATCAATAATCCGGAAGATGGTGTCACTAAATCAGCTACTGCTCATGTCCTTCCCGCATTAGATGTTTCACATGAAGAAGGAGAGAAAATTAAGGCCTATATAAATTCAACTTCAAATCCTATTGCTGCAATTACATTCCAGGGAACAGTAATAGGAGATAAAAATGCTCCTATTGTTGCTTCATTTTCTACTCGAGGACCAAGCCGAGCAAATCCTGGCATCTTAAAACCTGATATTATCGGTCCTGGTGTTAATGTACTCGCTGCTTGGCCTACCACCGTGAATATCCCCAACAAAAACACAAATTCTGCATTCAATATTCTATCTGGTACCTCAATGTCTTGCGCTCACCTTAGTGGCATAGCAGCTCTGCTGAAGAGCGCGCATCCTAATTGGTCTTCTTCTGCTATTAAGTCCGCAATCATGACAACTGCTGACACATTAAACCTTGCCAAGAATCCAATATTAGATGAAACGCTCAATCCTGCTAATATCTTTGCAACTGGTGCAGGACATGTTAATCCGTCGAGAGCAACTGACCCTGGACTAGTTTATGATACACCATTTGAAGACTATTTACCTTATTTATGTGGTTTGAACTACACAAATCGAGAGGTAGGTTTCATGTTACAACGCAAGGTGAATTGCGCGGAGGTGAAAAGTATCCCTGAAGCGCAATTAAATTATCCTTCATTTTCCATCAGACTTAGATCAACTCCTCAGATATATACCAGAACCGTGACCAATGTTGGTGACGCGACATCAACTTACAAGGTGGAGATAGTTTCACCAAAAGGAGTTGCTGTGAAAGTTAAACCCTCCAAGCTAAACTTCTCTATGTTGAACCAGAGATTAACATACCAAGTGACTTTTTCCAAGACAACCAATAACTCAAACACTGATGAAGTTGTTCAGGGATTCTTGAAATGGACTTCTAATAGGCACTCTGTGAGAAGTCCAATTGCAGTTGTGTTGGTCTAGTGAAACGTACAAGATTGCCATGAAAAATTGACTTGTATTAATGCTTTCAATCTCAAATGCATAATAAACTACTCATTTTTGATATTAGTAGAATGCTGTTAATATATTTTCTGTATATGTATTATGTTACTTTTCATTCTTTCACTTTTCTTGATTTAGTTAATGGTGTTTGATAATTTTATATTGTCCAAATAGCCACCCACCTAATTTCTTAAACTAAAAATAGCCTGCGGATGTATAATGTATGTAAAATTCATGTATAATAGGTGTATAACTATGTATAATTAATGTATAATCTATGTATACCGATTAGAAAAAGTAAACCGTAGATCTATTTGGCTATGTGTATCTTTAATTTAAAGATCACTTTGTTCAAATGACCTTTTGATTGAAATATGGTTTCATTTTCTGGAAATTGGACTTCAGTATTGTCGGCATTACCTAAAATACTTCCATTCCAAGTGGACAAAATGTTAGAGACTATATATATCCATCTAAATTTAATACAAATATCTTCCAATAACCTTTGTAGTTTTTCCCTATTTTCTTTATTGACCTGTTACATCAGATGTCGACGTCCTTATTACTAAAATATTTAAGTTATATACATGGATGGCATAAGAATTTTCTAACTTCTCATGTTCCTCACAACATTCTCATGGACGTGAAGGAAACAAGTCGGTCCTCTACTAAATCATATAACTGGGAGGAAACATGTCAGATTAGAGTTGAATGATCAGATGTGTCCTCTAATCACCATGACGAGACCGGTCCTTCACCATTCCTTCAGCATGTAGTAGTATACCACCATTAACACTACTGATGTAGTCAATATATCACTAAAACTCTATCAAAAACTCACTGAAATCACCGAATTATGAAGAAGATCTTGGAGCTCACCACTATTGATCGACCTTTTAGCTCTCAAATCTAAAATATTGTAATTTATGAAGTGTTATATATAATCCGAAGTGGGTGTTTAAAAATCTTGTTAATAACAATTGTGTGAAGCTTATACTAAATTTTGAGCTCATTTAAGGTTAATTTGAAGAGCTACTAGTCGAAATTTTGAGATAGGCCGTTGAAGAAGACGAGCTGAAGCGGCGTATATCTATGTATATTTTACTATATATCTTTGTATACCTTTCATGAACATCCGTATATCTCCTACATATCATGTATATTTTTTATATCCATAGAAATCTATTGTGGATATTCACAATATATACATAATTTATATTATCATAGCAATATTTTTCAAATCGATTTTAGCTCCAAAAGTTGAGCCTAAAGCACTTTAAATCACCTCCAATCTTCCTCAAATTTTGTATAACTTCGTCTAGGTATTCCAAAGAATTTCAACTACATCCATTAAAAACAACTAAAAAGTTTCAGATTTCAAATTGAAATGAGTTTTTAATGGTGAGATTACAATTGATGTGAATTGTCATCGACAGTTTCAAATGCTTTGTCTATTACAATTGAATGAATTAGAAACATATCCAAGATCTCTTGAAAACTCTATAAAAACCTCAAGATCTCTTGGGGTAGTCTTTAATTTTTGACCCGGCTTGCCCCATAGGCTTCCTTTAAGGTCAAAAGTTTAAAATCTTGTCCATGGGTGGTGGCAACAAAATAGATAAAAACAGTTATTCATCCATATTATCCACTAAAAAATGAACTTTTTAAAAACGGGTCAAATATGGATATGAACCATATCATCCACTTAGAAAACGGATAACCAATGGATAACTAATGAGTTTAAATTTATTTTTTTGATAATTAATTTTCTTTTGTATTAATCATCAAAGAAAAACTGTACAAGTCCATCAAGCTAACTCAGCTGACTATCTCAAAGTTTAAAATGCAAAACAAAGCATACCTATTTACAGATAACACTAATGAATCTACTATGTTCCTAGGTAAAATTACTGTATATAACTCTTACCTCGAGTAGCTACTCTAACATTGCAGATATATACTATCTCCCGTACAAGAACATTACTGCCTCGATACCTTTGTTCAAATATACGTGTATTTCTTTTGATCCATATAGCATGTGAGATCTCAGCGTATAGCATTCTGAAGATGCTAGCCTTCTTGGGCTTCCCTTTTCCTTGCTTGATGATCCACCGAAGGTGTTGGTCCCAGCAGGTGGTGGGCACATGTGAAATTTGAACCCACTTCATGACTTTCTCCCACAGTTATGTAGTGTATGGGCATTGTGTTGGTCCCAGCAGGTGGTGGGCACATGTGAAATTTGAACCCACTTCATGACTTTCTCCCACAGTTATGTAGTGTATGGGCATTTAACAAAGAGGTGTTCCCTTGATTCATCATGTCCTTAGCACATAACACATTGAGGGGTGATAGTTAAACCCCAGTTGGCTAGCCTATCTTTAGTTGGCAATCGACCATGAAGCAACAACCACATAGTGAAGACTGCCTTTGGCCTGGCAGTATTGTGGAAGACTAGACATTTCCAACTAACTCTTGGTAGGTCTCCCAAAAGTTGTAGGTATATTTGTCTAATAATGCTCTTGCTGTGATCACTTAAGTTCTGTGCCTGCAGTATAGTTGCTCTTGCTCCAATTATTCTTCTCACCATCCAACTGGCTTGTTGTGGTATTGCCATATGTTGTAGCTGTTGTTGTTTGATATAGTATGCATTGATATCTTATCCATAGTTTGTCCTGTTTGTGTGCTAAGTCCCAGCAAGTTTTGGCAATTGCTGCTTTGTTCCATAAAGGAGGTTGATGAGATTAAGTCCACCAGCTGACTTGGGAGTACAAATCTTTTCCCATGCTACTAAGGCCTTCCTGGTTATTGTGTTAGTTCCAGACCAAATGTAACTTCTACAGAGTGCCTCTGTCATTTTCAATACCTTAGAAGGTAAGATGAACAATTGAACCAGTAAACTTGAATACCAAAGATAACATACTGAACCAGCTGCACACGACCAACATAAGATGGCTTTTTAGCAGTCCAGGAAGAAATCTTAGCTGTGATCTTTTCAATAAAAGGCTGCCACTGTATGAGAGCTATTTTCTTTATAGACAAAGGAATGCCTAGGTATTTGAAGGCTAAGGTTCCTTTTTCAAATCCCAGGTGAGTCAATATTTGTTCCTTCACATCTTGCTTCACCCCACCAAAATATACTGAACTGTTTCGCAGATTAGCCTGCAAACCTGATGCCTTAGAGAATTGAGAGAAGCATCTATATAATGTGGCCACTAAGGATAGATTACCCTTAGCAAATAATAGGAGATCATCAGCAAAACCCATATGAGTTATGTCCAGCTTCCTACATCTGGGGTGATATTGGAAGGTAGGCTCCTTCTTAAGCTCATGTAGAGGTCTATTCAAGTAGTCCATCATTATTGCAAAAAGGAAATGAGAGATAGAATCCCCTTGTCGAAGACCCTTGGCAGCGTTGAAAGGTTCTATGGTTTCTCCATTCACAAGGATAGTATAGTTGACTGTCTTGATGCATTCCATTATCCACCTGATAAACCTGTCAGGAAATCCAAGCTCCTCCATCACCTGTTGTAAGAAGATCCATTCTACTGAGTCATACACTTTTTGGAGATCAATCTTTATCATACATCTAGGAGATATCTGGGCTCTAGTGTAAGATTTGACTAGCTCATGAGCTAGGAGATATAATGAGTTTAACTTTTACATTTGTAAAGACTCAAATTGGGGATTCCTCAAGTTTTGGAGACTAGAAATTCTCCCAAAAGTGATCATATTCAAGAAGCCATGGATATATATTCATATTATTCGCCGGTGAACCCATTTTTTATTCGTATTAAATATGGGTCGGGTCGGATAATCTATCCGTTTTTTGAATGATCCATTTTGGGTCACCCATAACCGACCCGCCAATTTGCCACCCCTACCCATAGGACAAGCGAGGGACTACACTTGTTAAACTTGAAGCTTTGCCCATAAGACAAACGGTGACAAAAATTCAAGACCATCCACTTTTAGGGCAATTTATGTACTTCACCTGTTAGTATTAGTAGTGGTATATATGTGTAAATTTTCCAAAATAAAACGAGGGCTAGTAGTTATGTGGCCTAATGAAACAGCCCAATTAATTGAATACAGGAAATCGGTAAAAATAGCACGGGCTAGCCAGTTTTCGGACTGGTCATTCACAAATAGCCAGCGTTTGCAAAGTCATTGAAAAATAGTCACTATTTTGATGTAACACGGAAAGTTCCAGCATAATATACTGGAGATCGGTGCACATATGCATGAACTTCCAGCATATTATGCTGGACCAGTATATTATACTGGAACTCCAGTATATTATACTGGAATTCAGTATATTATACTGGAGTATTTTTCGAATTTTGGACAGTATTTTCGTTCAGATTTATCTTTAAACGAAAAAAAATACTAGAATTCCAGTATATTATACCGGAAGTTCATTATACTGGAAGTTAGTATATTATACTGGAGTATTTTTCGAATTTTGGACAATATTTTCGTTCAGATTTTTCTTTAAATAAAAAGTGGCTAAATTTCAATTACTTTTAAAACTGTGGCTATTTTTGAATGACCATTTGTAAATCTGGCTATTCTTGAATTTCTCTTAGTAAATCGATAATTCTAGAATCCAGATTGCCTTCCGAAGTCTCACGACGACTCTCTCTCTATATCTCAACTGTTAAAAAATTCTAGTCTGAATGAATATATAAAAGGATTGTGAAAAAATGGCATTTTTGAGGTCAATTGTGACTGCAAAAACAACCGCCATTGCTGCTGTTATTCCAGCTGCTGCTTTTGCTATTTCTTCCATTTCCTCCTCCTCCTCCTCCTCCTCTTCTTCTTCTTCTTCGCACTTCGAACGCTTATCGAAAAATCTAAAATTTGCTTCGAATCCGAATCTCCGATTAAGCTTCGCGAAGAATATAGAAAAATCAAGTCCTCCTTCAGCTCTTCATATGGACGCGCCTTCTTCCAATCATCAAACTTCCGTCGAGGTATAATTTTTTCCTCTAACTCTTTTATTTGTCTTAAATTTGTTGAATTCGTCCTAGGCTGATTCAACATATAAGCCGTGGATGCACCGGAACTAATTCGGATATTAAGTGGTGCATTTACTCTATCAGTAGTTTCTTTAAATTTGAGATTCACCTCTATTCCTAAGCCACAACTGCAAACTAGTAATTTTTTTTTTTTTTTTTTGGTTTATTGGTTTGGCAATCAATTGATGTTATAGTTCTAATTCAGTAATGTGATTTTTCATTTGCAGAATGGCGCCGTTTTGCCTGATTTGCTGGTACGTTCTCCTTTAGCCTTTAGTATATTTTTCTTTGTAGTTTTGATTTGAGAGGAAAAATGAGAAATGAGTTTAACTTACACATAGATAGTGTAAAAGTCACTCAAAATATATCTTCACCATAAAATATGAGATTTTAATCTTTAAGATAAGACATGCCACCTGCAATAACAGGTGGATGTGATCAGATAGTGTAAAATTTTTTACACCGTAGTGAATATTAGCATATCTGGAACTGTACAATAAATAGGGACTCTTGTACTGGCAAACAAGTCTTTATTATGGTAAATATGGTAACCGTGTACTTTGGATAGTACTATAATGCAGTACAGCATTTGAGTCAAAGAAAGGTACAATATACTGATATAGTACAACATCAATCTAGGACCAATCTTTTCTCCTCTGCTTTAGGTCGATCAACTAACATCTCGTGTAAGAAGGCAGGACAGAGCCTTATATAGTGCTCTGCTATCAGCAATATTCACTTGTCAAAAATAAAAAAAAAGTATACGTTTGCTTTTAAACTATATAATACAAGAGGGTCTTTTTCTCCTTGATTAATTTGCTTAGGTAAATTCATCATGCTGGCTGAAATGTGATTAATTTGTCAAGAATGCTGATCTCTATTGGCTTTTTCCTTAAAGCATCTCTTAATGTTGATGCACCAACTTATGCGGAGTATAACCCATTTTTGTTGCTATCGAAGAGGGTTTAATTTTTGCGGTTCGCATTTGGTTGTATTGGTTTTGTTGTGAGTTGATGACTTTTAGGATTGGGGAATGGAGGGCTTGCATTGTGGTGGAATTATTCTAATTTAAAATGTCTCATAAAAACTCATAACTTATGATTATTATGTTGCATTGTTGCTGTTTCCTTGCATTAAATTGATGGTATTGACAACTTGGTGACAGACAGAATTTATGGTGGACATGTCGTGTCAAGGCTGTGTTAACGCAGTCAAGAGCAAACTGCAAACTGTTGAAGGTAAGTGCTAAAAACAAGAAATCATGCCTTTTTCTGTAAAAAAAAAACTCATCAATTTGTTTTAGTGTTGAAAGAGATCTTTTCTGTGGCTTTTAGGTGTCAAGAATGTGGATGTGGACCTCGATAATCAAGTAGTGAGAGTTCTTGGATCTTCACCTGTGAAGATTTTGACAGAAGCCTTGGAGCAAACAGGTCGAAAAGCCCGACTGATTGGACAAGGAGTTCCGGATGGTATAGTTTCAATCTTAAAGCTAATTGTATATCTGATGTTTTATCGGTTGGTATTATAGAAAGTTTGTGAAGCATTATATTTTCACGTCTCTGGCTATGTTCACAGGATGACCAGAATCAGCTATGCCTATGATTATTGTATATAATGTTTTCTAAACTGCTGAGCTGAGAGAATGAATGCAAAAGAGGGATCATAAGAAGTTACCTCATGAGTTTTAGATTTCTTCAGCTTCATCTGCTTTATTTCCAATGAGATGTATCCAACAGTTTTATGCGTTTAACCATGCTTTGTAGATTTCCTTATATCTGCTGCTGTTGCGGAATTCAAAGGGCCAGACATTTTTGGTGTTGTTCGCTTGGCTCAAGTCAATTTGGAATTAACTAGGATTGAAGCAAACTTCAGTGGACTGTCACCTGGAAAGCATGCTTGGTCAATTAATGAATTTGGTGATTTGACGAGGGGGGCAGCTAGTACTGGGAAATTGTATAGCCCAGTAAGTAATAGTGTAATACTCAGAAAAATGTCTGGTTTAAATTTAATATGTTATATTCCCTTTTTCCTGTGAACTCTACATAGGTGATACCTATTGGTTGACAATATGTTTGTCATGGTAGCACTTTTACTTTATGTCTTATGCTTTTCTAGGAGTCGTTTAGCCTTTTAGATTTTTATACGTCATTAATAGAAAATATAAAGAACTTTTAGTACTTTTTATTTTTATTTGTATGTTATTGGCCTGAGATGAGTTTAATTGGAGTAACATGACCAATGAGGTAGCTGACCCCATGTTGTTTGGGATTGAGGCATAGTTGTTATTTTTTTCTTTTCTTTTTTTGCTTGTTTGTGTGGTGGTTGGGGGGGGGGGGGGGGGGGTAGGGGATATGGAGGGCTTGGATTCTGCAGTAGCCGTTATCCTTAGAGAAATAGAGGGAATCTGCATGCTTATCTGTTATTTATGCAGTCAGGTTCTCAACTAATCTCACTCATGGATGCTTTAAGTGCTTGAAGAACTATGGTTAATACTTTTAAGGGGTCCATTGTCAATGAAATGTATCTAATAATCCATGCTGTTAGTACCCGAATGGAAGTTGTCTGGAAACTGTTTGGCAGCGACTATGTGAAACTTTTCCTTTCTCTTTGTCCTGCAAAGGGTGAAATGAAAATATACACGTGCTTGATGTGTGTTAATTCTTTACTTGTTTTCGAGTGTCTTAAGGTGCCGAATTTGACGAACGAGGTTCTAATGCGTGATTGGTTTGTGTGGGTTCTGACTAACACCATGTACAAGTTACTATTCAAGCTAAGATGTACCTATATTCTGTCCGCTTCCCTTCTATTTTTCCCCGCTTTCTTGTTCTGGGGAGTGGGAGATGGGGGTTTACTTACTTGGTGAAAGCCATGCATTTAACAGGGTGTTAGGTACTGTGACTTTTGCAGTCCTTGCTTTGCCTAGGACGTAATAGTAAAGAATTTGGTGCAAAGTGATAAATGATGAAATGGTGAGTGACCTGATAATTCTTGGTTCTGGGAGGGTCAGCCATTTCCCCACACGGGATGCATGCTTGTTCTATTCTTCATAACTTCTATATTGAGACTATTTGGTAGTGATCTACAACCTGGGAAACTAAAACAAGGTGGTTGTTCCCACAGTGATGTCATAATATAAACGGGATATCTAATTTTTCCTTTTTTTTCCTTGACCTTGAACATTGTATTGGATAAAGTTGCACCAAAAGGTTGATTTGGTGCACTTTTTTATGTGTTTTTCCATTTTTCAGCCACTCGGTGACCTGGGAACACTGGAAGTTGATGTGAAAGGCGAGGCATTTTATTCTGGTGCTAAAGAGAAGCTGAGAGTTGCTGACCTGATTGGGCGAGCTATAGCAGTATATTCAACTGAAGATAAATCAGATCCTGGCCTTAAAGCAGCAGTGATAGCTAGAAGTGCAGGAGTTGGTGAGAACTACAAGAAACTCTGCACTTGTGATGGTACAACTATTTGGGAAGCAACCAACAAACTATGAATACTTACACTATCGTAGACCTATATGTTCTTTGTATACTACATCTCCATCATTTCCAAGATCCTGAAGCTTTCAAGTTGGACGGATCATTTTAATGTATCAAAATAAATGTATCATTTGCTCATTCATTTCTTGGTTCTTATTTACAGAGTTGCTCATCTTTATCTCAATAAGGATTGCCGATGAATTAAATTTTAACAAAGCATCAAGCTTTCAGTAGGTATAAACTTTGGGATGACGGTCGTTTTCCAACTGCAATTGGAAAATACTTTCTTCACTGATTCGTTTTAAACTTCATCAAGCTGCAACCATAGATTTTACTGTAAAGGATCAGAAGTAAGACTCTAATTCCCATTGGTTCTTCGAGACCGATAAAAAAAATTCAAATTTGGCGAATTGGACTCTAGATTTAGAAGCAATCGATTTCTTTTACTTTTTGAATATTGCGAATATTAATCAGAGCAAGAAACGTTTTGAAAGATACAAGCTCAAAGCTAAATAGCAGTAACCATGTTATGTGATAACAACATCCTGAAGATCAATATGAAGCCAATTTATCCATCCATACCACGAACAGAATGAACAGTAAAACGCATTACATTTGTTATGGTTTAGGACTTCTCTCAACTGTGCAAGGAAAAATCTCCGCTTTCCCTTCTTTATTATCTTTTTCAAACTGATATACAAAACCAAGCAACAACAGATGCAGTTGCAAGGAGAGTGCACCTAGGAATGCCCATAATGTAGTTGTCATCTGCCTAAGATATACCATCACCTATTCAGCCAAGCAAGCAATAACGTAAATTGAGATAAATGGAAGAGGAAATATTAACTCGTCGTCGAGCAAGGTAGCAGCCCATCTCTTTTGGCCATCTCATAGAGGGCAATTGCGGTCAGAGCCTTTGCATCAGCTGTGGCACGCCATAGTTTATCATATGGAACCACATGCACCTTAATCAGCTCCCCATGGTCACGTAGTCCAGTTTCTTTCCCTTGCAGTTGTTGGATTTTCTCTTTGCTGACATCTCCTCTGTATAGAAACAAACTGATCTCCTCATCACAGCCACCCTAACATTAAAAGAACAACAAAATCACAGAAATATAGTGTTAGAGAAACATAAAGGCAGAAATCTTAATAACAGTCCCCAATTTTTAAATGCGAACCAACATAAGGCTATGTACGATAGACCCGATGTAGTCACCCTACTCTGAACCCCGTACACCAAGCTGCCCTTTTTTATCTGAAATGCGAGAAATAAGCTGCTGCTGTTGCAGAAAATGGCAGCTTTTCTATGCTGATTATAATTTTTACTATGCTGACAAACCATGACTGGGCAAGGTTCTCAAAATTTACCACTAATTTCAATTGCACATGGAGTAGTATCCAACGTCATTCCAGGTTTCTAACACTAGAGCAAGTAGTGCAATGAATTGAAACTACTGACTACTAGAAGTATTAACAGTCAACATCCTTTTAATACTAGGCAAGAAGCAACTATAACATATACCCTTTCATAGTACTTTTTAGCAGAAACTAGCTGTTTATGCAATTTTTTTTACTTATTGTTCCAATAATACAAATTCCAAGAAAGCATGTGGTCAGAATGTCTGTCTTATAGAAGATGGCGGAAGCTTACAGGAGAAGGAAAAACTCTGCCCCCAGTCGATGCGTCGAGAAAAGCCGTGAGGTCGACCATATCATGAACATTCAGGTGTATTCCAGTTTCTTCCTCAACCTGAGACGTATAGATCAAATACTTAAATTAGAAGTTTGGCCAAATAGAATGTCAAACTCTCCAATTTTGCCATCCACAAGCTAAAACTGATATATATGCACATCCATAAGTATTCAAAAGCAGCACTTGATTATAAAGTACAGTGCAACTAAGTTGTCAAATATGTAAAACAGTTGCTTGTGATAAGGAAGTTACAATGTTCCTATAAGGATCAGTAGAGTCACGCATACACAAACATCAACAGATTTCTGGGTTCTATAAAAGAAGGAACTTCCATTGATTAGTCGAAAACTGACAGAATAAGAGGAATCCAGTTCATTATGCAATAATAAATCAATATACTAGGGAATTGAGCCACGAAGCAAGGGAACAGCTTGCCCCAGTCTAGATTATTTTGAGAAAGTTCATATTCACTCTGTATGCATCTTAATGAGTCAACTGCAGCATATGATGACTAAGTATTGGCTCATTGTATTATCTGGAGAAATTTTTACTTCATCTTTTGAAGATTCATGTATTCTATTTCCTTGTACCTCAGGCTGTCGTCTACCAGGTACAAAAGCCTATAAGGATTAGCGACATTATTATTCCTTTTCTTGCTGTTAAGTTGGCTACTTGCAATATCCTGCACACCTTAAAAATGATAGTTTGACGACTATGACTTTACCATAAAGTTCAAATATAGACTTGAACTGTAGCATTCAAAATTACATTAATGCCTGAGACTTTGACAAATTAACTGATTGTTGACACTTGCTTGGGATTGACTTGCTGACACCTACTTAATCTTCAGTGTTACCTATTGATTGAGACCCTGTGAGCATATTAGTCACCTTACTCGGAATAACCCTGCAACAGCTACCAAAAAGTGACAAGATAATGTCTGGCACGACCTAACATAATCCTTCAGCATCTATCGTTTGTACGTTATTATCTGTGACCCAAATAATTTGCAAAAGAAAATACCAGCCCTCTTTAAACATTTCATAGCCGATTACAAAGCAATACCAGCCTTCTTCGAAACATTTCTGGACGAGACCATACAACAGCCCCGGACCTTCACAATGATTAAAGCCACTGTAATTTATTATATACACCATTAGATCTAACATAAATTTGAAACTTAAGTGCTTCCATTTGATTATTCACTCCTCTCTGAATACTGGGTTGCGAACAGAACTGTCAGAAAACCATCTGTGACCAGAAAACATTAACTCTGGCATGAAATGCATGTGCATGCATGAATATGTGATAGCTTTCGGCATCACATTGCCTGGATTATTTGGGGTGGGGAAGGGGATAATGCTTTGATAGAGAGGGAAAGAGAGACCTCTCGAACTGCTGTTCCAGCAAAGTCACCATGGTCATCATCCAACATTCCTGCTGGCAATTCCAAAATTAGCCTTCCAACAGGGACCCTAACCTTTCAAACAATTTGAATGTTTTTTAGAGTTAAAAAGGTAATAGGGGTAGAGAACTTCCGTAGATTTCCTCACCTAATTAGTACTGTGAGATAAGTTTCAACGTTATATAAATAGAGGAGTTGATGGTTGGAAGACCAACCTGTTCCGTAAGCACAGCATACGTCTCACCCTCAGAATCCAAAAGGATTAGCACTGCAACAGCTGGACCCCGTGCAAAGACGATACCAGGAACCTACACACAAAAGAAGCAATAGAAATTGCCCTTGTTGCAACCAATGCTAAGCTAGGAAAAAGGAAATTGGAAGAAACACATCATTATAATGTTAGTAATGACAAGCTATGTCAAGAGTACTGTATTTTCTGTCACTCCAAGATACTAGGACAAAAGACCAAATATAAGCGAAATAAATTGAGGAAAGCACAGCTTAAGAGAAGCCATTCATTGTCCGACTGAATGAATTACATAATCCAATCGCATGGAGAGATTCTACTCAGATACCTTCTGACCCGTCTCCTTATCAATAATATCTGTTTTGAACTTTAGAAACCCAAGATGGTTTCCAAACATATCTACACCCTGCTCCAACACATAAAAAGGAAAAATCAGCTGTAAATCAAACTTAATGCTTGCGGTAGCAGGACTGAAAGCAGATTAAATTCGGTGTTAGTCACTATGTCTCCAGTCACTGAGAGGGCGACTTAAATCATTCTAAAAGTCCTGACACGTAACACGAAGAAGACTTCTGTTATTGAAAGGAGCACTACTGACAGCTATGTTAGGGCAGCATGGCAATCTTTAGGAGAATAAGGTGCACAATTAACCTAAATATTCATTGGTCTGATAAATGTTAATTACACATAAGATACTTAAGTCTTAACAACGATGTAGTTAAGCAGCATCCGTCAAGATGAATAAGATTTTCCTCCAGCATTGTCCAATGTTGAATAAATTTAGAAGGGCTCTAGCAACTCAACTTGTCGTGGAACACTAATTAGCCAATAGCGTAATTCGTCGAAGCTAGTGGACAAACAAAAGTAACTAACTTCATACTCAAAAGAAGAAATTGAGACTGAGACCTGAATAAGAACTTGTCTTAGAGACATAGCTCCATTAGCCAGCAGTCCTGTTTCAGTCTGAATGTTCTTTAACCACTGCTTGAATAATGAGGATTCAATAGCATTCCTACAACAAAATACACCATATTTCACTCAATCCAAAGCCAAATTAAGAGAACTCTGAACCTCTAGCATAAAAATGCTTCCTTTTTTGAAAATCTGACTACAAATGTCATATTAAGAGTAAATTACATAAACCCAAAAGAAAGAAATAGCAACTGGCGGGACTTCCAAACGGCTCACTTAATCCAAAGTCATGCCAAGAAAAATGCTTAATCTTTAACATAAAAAGCTTCTCTTTTTTGCAAAAACCTCACTACAGTCTACAAATACCATATTAAGCGTGAATTACGTTAGTGGAATGCTAAAAATAGAAACCCAATAAAGAAAAAAAGAGAAAATAGCAAGTGGAGGGACTTGCCTGAATTGGGTGTCGGAGACGCCGGGAGCAGCGACAACGGAAACGGGTTGATCGAGTTGGGCTGGAAGATTGATGATGTGAGTGAGTTGAGAAGGTGGGGTTGTTGACATTTTGGCAGAGAATAGAGTACAAGTTTTATTAGGAGAAAAGGTAGAAGAGGAGAAGGGGAATTTGTAGAGAGGTTTCAAGAATGGAAGTCCATAACGTGGCACTGCCACTCTCATGATTCGCAACTTGCTGATTTATGTTTTTCTGTTTGTTATAAACCGAAGAGATGAATTGCAATGCTCTTTATTTTAGAGATTTTTATTTTCTTCAATTTCAATGCTCTTTATATCAAGCTTTTTTCTGTTCCTTCTTGTGCTTTTTTTTCTTCCTTTTACGTGGTGATTTTAATCACTAAATTTTACTTGCTACAACATTACAGAGGCTTACTCTACTCCAGAAGCCAATTTAGTGCTTTAGTTACATTTGAACTCATAATTTTGGTTCAAACTCTATAAATGTATTTAAACTTTTTACTAAATATGTACAAATAATATATCTCAATTCGAGCGCTCGAACCCATATACTTAAATCATGGATCTGCTTTTGTATCTCGAGAGCTGGAGGATGATTAAAAAAACTCGCACTACTCTCCCTCACACGCACAAATAAGTTTTGGAGAAAGACGAAAAAAAAAAAAAAAGTCAAAACCCCCTGAATTCGGTATTTGGGACATTTATATATGGATTCATTAATGTGGTGCTCATGCTTTCCTGAGCCGAGGGTCTATTGGAAATAGACTATCTATGCTCACAAGATAGGCGTAAGTTATGCATACACGCTACCCTCCCCAGATCCCACGGTGAGATAATACTGGGTATGTTATTGTTGTTGTTGGATATTTATATATGGAGTATAATATACACACAAAGGGAAAGCCAACTAAATCCACACCTCTGAAAGTCTCCAGTCCTACTACAAGAGTGCGCTGAGGGAAGAAAACTTCACAATGTTTGTGGACAATTTCTGCTAACAAAAATAATACTTATCAGTATAATCAAACATAAAATTGTATAGTCCAGAAGTCGTATGACATTTTCAATATTTTCCAGCGTTTAGTCGTTGGAGGAACAGACACCAACAATCAACTACAGGATGAGCAATGGAAAAGCTGCTTCAAGTCAAAATAATGGGAGCCTTAACCAAGTGTCCAGGAGCAACATATGGCGCAATTTCCTTAGCCAGAAGCTGGCATAAAAGAGAAAACACAACTTCACCCTGCAGCATACTTCCTCTTCCCTCATTACACTGAATCTGATGTTGAAATGAGTGTCCGCGCCATCTCAAAACACACACAATTCTACATCAACAATTCAACGGATGCAGCCACCAGGAGAAGCAACACATTTTACAACAAACTGATGATTGTGGAGGCAGCACTCATAACTCATCCTTTTGATGCTGATGTTGAATTTGCCTGGTTTGCCACAGTGAACTTATTACAAGTAACAGATTTTGATAATTCTGAGTGAAAATCTTAAAATGGAATGGATTCAGAAAATATAGACATGAGGGAAACATGCAGGATATAATTTCAGAAATCCAATCCATAATCCTCACTCCTGAGTGAAATTTATAATTGTAACTTATATTTGTAAAGTCAATCAGTACTCAAGCATTCTTCACCAATTGATCCCTGTAATACCGGTCTATGAATAAACAATAATGCAATAAAACCTCATACTTCTTTATGCTCAATATTGCAAGTCCAAACAATGAACATTTTCTCATCAGATTCAGGAAGCGACACTCAGCATTAACCTTATCTTACAAATTTATGGTGCCCACAATCCTGCATAATCCGTATCCAGCAATTGTTTGTTTTATTCATGTGACAACTTTAGTGACCAATATTCATGGTTGGACAAGTACTCTTATTTTGGAAATATTACCAACTTCACATAACTAGCCCAAAGCCAAAATTATCTCAACTAAAATGCACCAAGGTGAAATTAACAATTAATTACTTCCTCCACATAAATTGAAAAGCTGAATAACAATAACTTTAGCACTGGTCTCACTAAAATACTGGCCAGAAAACGTATTGGTCACATGGCCACATCTAGTGTGTTGCCTATGGATGGGTTCACGTGAACTCACTAGCTTTTGTCAACACCATATATATATATATATAAACATCTGAGCGCGAACTCAGTTATTATTTTAGTATCAACTTAAGATCGTTATAAGAACTCAAATTTCAAACTCTGAATCCGCTCCTGATCGGTCAGAGCCTTGACAGAGTCTTGATTGGCTTCTCCTCCTCGCCATAATCTCCCACAGTCTCATCGGAACCAAGCGAATTTAGTAGCTCGACATACAAAGTTTTCCTACAATCAGCATACACTTTCCCATCCCAATTTCTGCTCACCAATTCTTCACCTAACCTCACAGCTGCCTCCATAGTCTCCTCTGCTCCACTGTGAGCCGAATCCACGATCCCCATTTCAACTCCCATCTCAGCCGTCATCTTAGCCGATTTCAACACCACCTCACGCCAAACCGCCGGCGACCCAACTTTACACTTCAACAAAGCCGAAAACCAAATCGGAATCTTATACCCAATATCGAGCTCACTCATATAAAGAAACCCTCGATCCTTACGCATAAGAACGTAGTCATGGGAAAGGGCGAAGATCAAACCGGCAGCAGAAGCGTGTCCAGTGACAGCAGCAATTGTGGGCATAGGCAAGGTGATTAAGTCGTAGACAAGAGCGCGGAGTTTCTTAGACATGAGTTGTGGGCGAACTTTGTCGACTAAGGCCCACTTAAGATCGTAACCATTGGAGAAGAATTTGCCTTGGGATGTGGTAATCAGAACGGAAGAGGAAGAAGCTGATTCAGATCGGAGACGGCGGAGAGCGGCGGCGAGGGAGTCAATAAGGTTGGGATGTAAACGGTGCTCATCGGTTCCAGTTAAGGTTAGGAGGAAGATGTTGCCTCTCTTCTCTAATGTACACATCCCTCCCTTTGTCTCCTTCCTATGGCTGGATTTCAGCAACTATAGAAGATTGTCCGTACTAAAAAGTAGACGATTTTTGTTTGGTAGATAGAAGAAAGAAAGTGAACAGAAATGAAGATATTATTGGTTCTTGATTAAGGGTGTGTTTGGTGCCAAGGATAATGAGTAATACGATCACTTATTTTTTCATTTTTGGTTGGTGAGTGAAATTTTAGGGAGAAATTCAAACATAGTCAGATTTATCACTGGTCGTTGAAAAATAGCCAAGTTTCAAAAGTCATCGAAATTTAGCCACTTTAAATCTGAGCGAAAACACTGTTCAAAATCCAGAAAAATACGCCCGTTCCAGGATAAGCTGGAACTCCCGCAAATTTTACGGGAGTTCAAGCATAATTATGCTGGAACTCCCGCAAATTTTACGGGAGTTCCAGCAAGTATAATTGTCCAGTATAATATACTGGAGTTTGGAGCACTGGTGCTCCAGTCTCCCGCAAATTTTACAAGAGTTAGCAAAGTATACCGGTGCAGCATAATATGCTGGAGTTCGTACACAAATGCACCAGAACTCCCGTATATTATACTGGACCGGTCCCTGTTGCAGCAAAACAGTGGCTATTTTTCATTGACTTGATAAACGCTGGCTATTTTCATTGACCAGTGTGAAAACTGGCTATACCATGATATTTTAACGAAATTTTTTGGGAGAATTACATCCTTTGTTGCTTGGCCCAACAACTCATCAGAAAAAATAGCCCATATTTGAAGCACTTACCCAATGTAGCCCAGGTTGTACATAACCTGAAAATTATTTTTTACCAGTTAGCCCCTTTTTTCTTCGTTCCCTCTTCTTTCTTCGTTCTAGTTACATCCCTTATCACTCCCCTTTTTTCTTTGTTCCAGTTAGCCCACCCCTTATTTCCCTGTTTCCCTTTCTTCTTTATTCCCCTTTTTTCTTCATTCTTCTTCTCCTTCCCAAGTCAGCCTTTGCATCACAAAATTTCTCTACTATCGTTATTCTCCTTCAATTCTTTTCCGGATTCCAATGGTTAATTAAGGATTTGAAAAATAAAAGTCACCATTACAGGTGGTTCGAAGATTCGATTTCAGAAATTGAGTTTTACGATTTGTTAGTTGTTTGGAATAGGTGTTGTCTCAATTGATTGGAATCATCAAGATGAGTTCAAAACGTAAATTTCAAGTGATTTGGAGTAGGTTTAGGCTATATTTGAGTTAAATTTCAGAGGATGCCCAAGGAAGAAGAAGAAGAACACGTGAAGCTCCATTGATAAGATTCATTTGTATAATATTGTATAAATAGTATATAATAGTGTATAAACACAACTTATACACTATTATATACAAGGTTGATACATTATTTACAGGTATTTGGTGAATTTCTCGCATTTTCTTCTTCTTTTTCTTCTTCTTCTTCTCATTCTTCTTATACACCTATATACATAGTGTATCAAGAATATTTTCACTCTGTGATTATACGTCTTTATACACTTTTATACAACTATATACATAATGTACCTTTTTGTATAAAAGTGTATAATATTGTATAAAAGTGTATAAGTATCGCTGACGAAATTTTTGTACGATTTTCATTTGCAATTCTTGTATAAAACTAGTCCAAATCTCTAGCAAATAGCTTCAAACTTTGTATACAACCTACTTAGACTATTTCTAATAAGTTCGAACAATACCCACTCCAAGTTTCTCACAAAATCATAATCGAAATTTAACAAGATTAGCATTAAAGGAGATGAGATTTTAGGTTTCTCGCGTCTGTTTTTGCGTTTTGCAGTTGTGATAGGTATGATAAACCTGAAGATATACAAAATAAAAATAAAAAAACAATTCAGAGAAGTATTGGTTATGGAAGAAGGCACGAATGAGTGTTGACGGGGAACTTATTTTTGTTTTCAGTTTTGTTTGCATATGATTCTTTTTTATTAATTAAATTAAATATTTATGGGTGAAAAATGAGGAGAGAGGTACAATATGGATAGGTAGGAATAAATGAGGTTGTTATAATTAGAGGGAATGGAAAAAGAAAAGATATTATTGATATTTGGCTACATATTTGCAAACTTGTAACTGGGCTAAAATAGTGCAAGGTCAAATTATCGAGTGCATTATTCTGTAATTTTGTCAAATATTTTCGGGAAACAGCCATACCAAAAAAACGATTAACCTTTATAAAATCAAAATTCTTGCGTTAGGAAGGGGTGAAGGTCGAGGATTAAGATAGTAGGTTAGGTAGTCTAGATTATTCATACCGGTAGTGTAAGTACGTACGCATTTGATTGGTATTAGGTTTCTTTGAATGTATGTCGTCTTTTGCGTTTCGATCATCTTACTATCTTGTTATGAATGCTGCTTTTACATGGTTTCTCGATGTTGTCCTTGTTTTCTTGTTATTATTGTGGTGCCTATACTTTCCTGAGCCGAGGGTCTATTGGAAACAACCTCTCTACCTCCACAAGGTAGGGGTAAAGTCTGCATACACACTACCCTCCTCAGACCCCACTATGTGGGATTATACTGGGTATGTTGTTATTGTTGTTGTTGTTGTAAAATGTTTCCTTTTATCAAAATTGTTGAAGAACTTCAAAAATCTCACTATAATGCCCTATTAAGCATGAATAAGGGATTAATTACATAGAAGATCACTCAACTTTAGCACTCCCTCCATTTTAATTTATTTCTCCTAATTTAACTTGACATAAAGTTTAATAAAGAGAAAAAAATATCTGAAACTTATGATCTTAAACTTGTCATAACATGTTTTAGATATAGAGCTTTTGAAACTTATGGCCTTAAACAAGCCATAGCATTTGTGGGACTATAAATGCTTAGGTTTAAGGAAATATAAAAAATATACAAATCTTTTTGAAGCGGACTAGTAAGAAAATAGTGACAATCTTTTTGAAATGGAGGGAGTAATATACTTGCGGAAAAATCATCAAAGTTATTTTTCAAACAACAAAATCATTGAACTTCCACTAAATTTCATAAAATATCATTCTTGCCAAAATACTGTCACACACAAATATGAGAATTGGAAGAAAGACGAAATAAAATGAGTCAAACCACATTGAATTCGGTATTGGGGCATTTATTCAAGAGCAAAGGGATATATACACCAAGTAAAACCCAATTAAACCTACACCTCTGGAAGTCTCCAGTCCCCTACTACAAGAGTGAGCTGAGGGAAGACGCGCTTCATAATGTTTGCCAACAATTTCTGCTAACAAACTAATATTCCTAATTCAGAATAATCAAACAGAAAACCGTATAGTCCATAAGTCGTATGATGTTTATGTTAAAACATTTTCAATCTATTCCTGAAATTAATTTGTTGGAGGAAGAGAGGCCACCATCCACTGCGGAATGAGCAATGACAAAGCTGCTTCACAATCCAGACATAAATACCAAGTAAAACAAGTAGTGGGCGAGATAATGAGAGCCTGATCAAGTGTCCAAGAGCAAGATACGGAGCAATTTCCTCATCCAGAAGTTGGTATAAAGGAGCAACCGCTTCCTCTTGCTGAACTGAATCTGTTGGTCAAGTTTGTGTCGATACCATCTCAAAGCGCACACAAGTCTTCATGAACAAAGGGTAAATCTTCAAGGGATGCAACCACGGGCAGAAGCCAACACATTTTACACAGGTTTATGGGTCCACAGAAACTGATCTGGAGGCAGCACCCAGAACTCATCCCTTGGTGTTGAATGTTGAATTTGCTCTGGATTTAAATGGTGAACATATTACTAGCAACAGATCCTGATAATTCTGAATCGAAATTTCAAGAATGGAAAGGATCTGGAAAACATAGGCATGAAGGACATATGCAGAATATAACTTCAGAAACACAATCCATAATCCTCACTCTTGTGTGAAATTTATAATTGTAACTTGTAAGTAATTGTCACATTGCTTCTTGCTACATAGAGAAATCAATCAGTAGTCAGCATTATTCCCTAATTGCTCCCGGTAATACCAGTTATAACCAACAATGCAATAAAACCTAACACTCCTTTATGCGCAATATTGCAAGTCAATGCAGTTCAGACAATGAGCATTCTCATCAGATTAAAGAAGCCAAAATCTTCTGCATTCACCTTATCTTCCAAATTTCTGGTGCGCATTAATCCTGTATAATCAATGTCCAAGATTGTGTGTTTTATTCATGTCATGAAACCTCAAGTGACTAATGATTCATTGTGAACATGTGCTCTTATTTTGGTAATATTACCAACTTCAGGTAAATAGGCCAAAGCTAAAATTATCTCAACTAAAAATACACTACGGTGAAATTAACAGTTTGAGACAATGACTTCCACATAAATTTAAAGCCGAATAGCAATAACTTCGGCACTGGTCTCTCATAAAAATATCGGCCGAAAAATTTATCACTCCGTATATGAGGAGAAAAGCCAAATACTCAGAAAACACTTGTTCTGGCGGTAAAATCAACTCCAATTAGTGCACAAATTCTCTCCCAGATGATTTATAGGTTAGCTGAATGACCAGACGAGGGGGTACAGAAGGCTAAAGCTACAATAAATACAGCTAACTATCTATCATGACTAACGTCTTGCACTAACATTTTTTTATAAGGTAAATAATTATTAATAATGGAAAAATTCCCGGGTTGCACTAACAGGGTATGCACCCAGTCCAAATATGTGGATTGCACATCTAGCAACTTCCTTAATAGATTTTATTTTCGGAAAAGAAAAAAAAAGAACTTTCTCAACAGATGTGTCTTTGTCTTGGCCCAAAGCATTTTCACCGGAGCCAAAACCAAGGCAAGCTGCAGCTTAAAGGAGTATGAAAGCACAAGTAATGAGAGTCAGATATATAGTATACCTCAACTGTTTATAGACGTGCAGTGATTTTATTCATGCTTAATGAGTCCATAGTCCCTGACATGGAATCATGTATTACTTGTCCAACCCCTTTTGGTGTTTTCTTGCTAGTATTTTGATAACAAAGATAAGAAAGTGACTGCAACCATGAAACCAAGGTCGGTTTCCGTATAACATCATCCGATTCTGCAACATGTTGATATAACTCATTGAGAATCATATCCTGGCCATTGGAAGGTAATCTAACGACCAACTGCGCCAGTAACTTCATCAAACTAGGCAGAACCTGAGAGTAAAAAAATGTTTTTATTTGCCATCTCAAGTACATTATGTTGACATAGTAGGCATAAACCATGGCTAGGAAACCTAAGACAAAATCAGCATTTGCATAGTTGAAGCATCTCTCCATTTTCTCCTTTCCATTTTAGAAAACTTCTATCTTAATTCAAGAAAGAGCTCCTATAATTTATTCCAAATATATTTTCAAATGAACGAAGAAAGAAGTTAAACCGTTAAAGTGAAGAAGCACCCATATTGAGTGTTTGCTATCAATAAAATGCATAAGTCCTTTATGATTTACTTATAACCGCCTAGCATTAGGTTGCCCAGTTGAAGTCAAACATTATTTCCATTTACCTGTATATCAACAAGAGAAAGGAGACGTAAAAGCAAATCCAACATCTGCTTGAAATGCTCCAACTCTCCATCCCAACTCTTCCACAAGTCATTTTTTGTAGTAGTATTGACTGAACTACAAAGGCTATCAGCTTTTTCAATGAGACAGGAGATGCAATAGAATATAGACGGGCTTCCAGCAGGCAGATGTCTAACCAGTGCAACAACTCCAGAAGCGAGTCCCTCAAAAGGAGTAAACCCAGGATATCCCTAAACTTTCAGTTAAATCAGAAAACAAGTTCAAGCATCACAGCAATTAAGTTTGATAACTTCTATTACCTCTAAAGATCTCTTGACATAATAGAATACAAGTTGCTCCTTTAAAGTAACACTTTCATCTAGGTCAGCATCCTTCCCAGAGGACATGAAAGCGACAAACACTGAGTGTGAGGCTTTAGCCACTTTCCCAGTTGGATGCCCCATGTATCTGGTTAAACATATTAAGGAAATTTTCATAAATTCAACCAAGTTTAGCTTTCCTACTTGTTTCTAGATCTATCCATCGGATGCAGGATACAGGAACATGGTTGGAGCCAGCACCTTGCGGAATACAGAGGCTGGTATACATTCTACGCAAGTTGGGATTACTCGCAGATAAAATAATATCCGAGCAGTCTGCACTTCATCAGTAGTCCAAAGATATTCCATTTTCTGAAAGCTAGTAGGTACTGCAAGGAAAAAGGTAATGTTTTGTGAAAGACTGTAATAGAGCAAACATACTGACAATTACAAACGTGCAGGGAAAAAAAAGTCACAACCAGCTTGGTTTGTCAAATCATCATAAGATGGAAGAGACTCCACGAATGAGACACAGGCAGATTCATTCTCCTGAACCCTTGTAACAACTGCTCTAATCGTATCCATATACTCTGGCAAACGCATTCTGCGAAAATATTCCATACAAGAAAATGCAACCAATATCCTCACTGAAAGTCTCATTTGAATTTCTTGGGGAGCACCTAAACCTAACTTGTGCTTTGTTACTGCCAAGGCAAAGAACACAACCATGAAGAAAGTAGATTCAGCAATTTTTTCCAGATTCCCTAATAGTGCTTCCTCCCTATCTCGAAGCATCAAAGCAACCTGCCGATGCCACATATAGACATCCCGACAGTAATTCCATATGATATCCTCTACTATACTTCGGTTTTCATCATCTGCCAAGACATATTGATTGCAAAAAACACCAGTTATGGCCCCTGCTTCCTTAAAAATAATGCTGTCTAGATGTTGCTGGACCTCATTGAGAACTAATCCCACCAAGTTTCCAGAAGGTGATTCTTGGATTTTGACATAAATACGTGGCAAGGGGAAGATTTCAGTCAGCAATGCTGTAGTGAGGCATAGAAACACATGAGCTTGGTAAGAAAATGGACCACTTTTAGATAAAGCTAATGATAGACACTGTAACAAAAAGGAGTTTCTTGGCTCCACGGTAGCATAATCAGCATCTCTGGCACTAGAAACTAAACCATGCGCAATAATCTCGATACGTCCCTCTGCAGAAGTCTTTAACTCCATTAATGCTTTCTGTTCAGATCTATTGATGACTCTTAATACTCCAGCAGCAGCCATGACTACAGCAAACAAAGAGAATGCTGGTTGTGTATTCTTCAATACCTCTCTACTGAAAAGATCAATCTTGTCTGCAGAGTGGGAATTGATAAAATTTGGAAAACTCCATTCCATTAGATGCAGTACCATGAGCCCATTGGACACACTAGCAGAAGGACCATCACTTTTATCCCACAATTCCATTAAACAACAGAGAACTCTAACAAAATAAATGTTCACAGAAGAAGATAAGGCATAGCCAATTCCTGCAAGAACATTGGGGATTGCCCTTTCAGACAAGCCGATCAATCTATAGTCTTCTTCAAGGAGCTGGCAGAGCAATTTCAAGCAGACCGTTTTAGATTTTTCGGATGCTGAAGGTACAAAAGAAAGAGCACCAAGGAGGAGAACACCTTCAGAGAAGAAAGATAAGCTTTTGTTCGAATGAATATGTCCAGAGAAAAGATGCAAGAGGACCTCCACCGCTGAATCAATGACCCCAGGAGAATGTCTAGATGATTTCCTAACCCAAATATACAGAAGCCTGACAAATAAAGGATAAGATTCCTGCGGAAGGGAGACTTTTTGTGAGGACAAAATAGACAGAAGAAGCTTTGCTTGTGGATCAGCAATATAAAGAGAGAACTGCGCATTGACGAGTGTCCTTAGAGATTGGAGGTGATTTGATTGGAATGACTTATTGTGAAGGGAGTCCCTAAGATCAGCCCATGCTCGGATGATATTTTGGGCTGATGTCGAAGGAGGATGTCTCAACGTCGTATTCTCGTGGGTGCCACTGCTGCTGCATAGCCATTCTTCAAGGAATACATATTCAGCTTTCTTTGCCATTATGTAAATTATACAACTGCAACATCAAACATTGCCAGTAATCAAAAAAAGAGACTGCTACATGCGCTAAAGCATAATTAAGAGCCCACTAATTATCTAACCAAGTCTCATCAATGAACTATAATCACAACAAAATTTGCACCAAATGCGAGTACAAGAGTTTAGGTGATTAAAAGTTACCCACCACCTAAATGACATATTTTTCACACCAGCAAACCCCCCTTCCCGAAAACAAAAGTAACTACCAATGATTTGCTTTCAGATCTCAAATGGATTATCCCCATTATGAGCTGGGAAAAGAGGGGGAAGGGGTCGGCTTTATTTAGTCAATAGAGTTAGTCAACAATAGAATTTGTCACCCAATAGATATAGCGAGAGAAGTGTTATAGATAACATTTTTGCTCCAGTCTTCTGAACTGATCAAAGAGAAGAGGTGTAAAAGAAAAGACAGAGTTTACTCAAAAGAAATGAATAAGGGAAGGTTTTTTTTTCCTTATCAATTTCAAATATGTTAAGCAGCAAACGATAATGACAAGTAGGATGATTTTCTAGAATTCTCTCCAGCACATTGTCATTTCGAAAGATCACAACATGTTGGGAAAATACACTATCAAATTCATCACAAGTTTATTTTACAGGAACAACAACTACTACGCCTCAATCCTAAACAAGTTTGGGTCGGCTATATGAATCCTCGCTGACCACGTTACTCCATTTGAACTGTTTATTTTCCCAACACAAAAAAAAAGTAGCACTGACTATCTAAGGCTTCTCTAATCAAAAGAAAATTAAGCTAAAAGCAACAACAACAACATATCCAGTATTATACCACATCATGGGGTCTGGAGAGGATAGTGTGTAAGCTAAACACACAAGGGAAACTTGAAATGAAAATTTATAGTCAAAAGCAAAATTCAGAAATCTTAGTAGCAAGATAAAGGGAAAGCCAAAAAAAAGAGAAATAGCAAGCAAATATTAGAGTCAGCTTTCTAACAACATTAACATCTCTTAGGACTTTCTTCGAACAGAAAGCAAGCAGCAGATGAAACACTTGTATGCCAATATCTAACAGCAATTCTATGGATAAAACTGAGAAAAGTTTGACTACAATAAGTAGAATTTGGCAAATCACAACGGAAATTCGAAACTTTACCCTTCTACGAGCTGTCACTTGAGTGCCAAGGAAGTTCCAAAACAGAAGTTGCTGCAAGATTTGAAAAGTTCTTGTTTAATAATCATATGGAAAAATATGGACCCTTTTTCACCAATTGCAATAAACCAGAAATTTATGGTCAATTATCATCCAATTAAACTGTTTTAGTACAATTTCTGAGGAGAAAAGAAGATTGTGTAAAGTTGGAAGGCTACGGTGACGTAAGGAGTAAACTACCATTCTATTTAATATTTATTTATTTCGTCTACTTGACACCATATTCAAGAAAAATATTACTCCTATAGTATATTCCACATATTAGACTGAGAATTAAAAAAAACAGCAAGGAGTAAAACTTCGAAGAAAGGCAATAGATTAGAGTTTGACTTTCAATAATGTTAAAGATAAAACGAATGTAGACGAAGCTAAGAAGATTTTATTTGGTATAAAAATAGTTTAAATTCTACGTACTTATTGTGTCAACTAGTCTTTCGGCACGTGCGCTGCACGTGTATGCTTAGAAGAGTACAAAATAAGTAAAATTTCCCCATATAAAGAATGATGAGAAAAGGAGCCGGTGTTTTTAAAAGAAAAAATGCCAAACATCTCACGAGTAAACGAACCATTGATCGTGTACTCTCACTAAATAATAAATATTCTTTTTAAACGTAACTTTTTTGTCTATTCAATTGTTGTTGTTTCACTTTGATTGTGCTTTTCTTTACCAAAGTGCACACTTTATTTGTGCTCTGCACTATCGTTATTTTTCACCTTAAACATTTATATGCTAATACCAACACTAAACACAATGTTATGCGGTAAAAAAAAAATCAGATCGTCTCTATACAATTACCAAAACAACTTTGCAGTTGAATTTGTCAAAATCAAGTCCAAAATCATTGTAGCATAAGCACTCAACAAAATTATACATTCATGCCTTGTTTCTTACCATCACCTTTATTAATAGAAGAATTAACCCAAATAATCATTTACCTAGCCACTTAAACTAAAAATAGTCGGTGGAGGTATCATATATACATAATTTATGTATTATATGTATATACTTATGTATTGTCAATATATAATTTATGTATATTGCTAGAAAAAATAAACGATGAATATAACCAACTATTTGTATAAAAATCCCTTATTAATATTGTGACTATAACATTAACTTGATCATTAAGATAACATATTTCTCATAAGAATATTCATAAAAAAAAAAAAAAAAAAAAATCCCGTACGAAACTCACCATATTAGTGAGATTCGACACTTCAAAATTGGTACTCCCTCCATCCTAATTATGTGATGGCTTTAGGTTGGACACATAGTTTAGAGTGAAAGCTAGATTTCTAAAGTGTGTAGTTTAAAACAAGCCGAAAAGTAATAATTTAAGTGGCTGTAAAATTATAAAATTAAGAATGAATTGAGAAATTTAAAGTTAAAATTATTACTAAATATAAAAAGAGTGTCATATAAGTAAAACTATAATTTTGTGAAATATTGAATAAAGAACCAATCTCAAATAACTTATTACAGTGTTAGAAATACCCATTCATCTTTTGAAAGGTGTATTGGTCAATAGAGTTATCCATTCTTTCCGAATAACGACAAAAATATGAAAATGACTTCATTAGCAATTAAGTTAATGTTCTTATCTCTATATAGTTGTCCAATGATAAACAAACCAAAACAAAGATGGAAAAGAAACAGAGTATTCTGAGCAACAATATGCATCAAAATTAAGCTTTTGAACAAAACTATCAGTGAAACAAAGGAAAATTCACATACGAATACGATGGTCGAGCAACAGAGCAACCAGGGGCGATGGTACATGATGTAAAGGGACCACCCTTCGTCAGAAAATTACACTGCATATATAGGTAAAATATTAGGATTTAAAAATATATAACATATATTGAACACTTTTTGTCGGGGAATTTTCTTCACTTCTTTTAAGTTTGAATATCCTTGAGGAAATTCTTGGCTTCGCAACGGAGAGCAACCACATTCATTCAAATCAATTATCTAGACGTCAAGTGAGCTTCTAGTAGAATTGAAGAGAATGAGTAAGTTATCATGACAAAAAGTTATAAACTACTTAAGCAATAATAACTATAAAGCATGGAGAAGTCCTCAGACTATAAAAACTAAAAACAATAATATAAACAAACAAAGCATATCAAAACACATATTATTTTGAGGCACATGTTTATTGTTTTGAATACCATGACATAACCAGTAGGGAAACTGTATTTAAATAGTTCTCCACTATTATTTTTTATTTTAATAATTTCTCACAAAATTTTCGATACAACTTGACTATCTAATAAATATAGACAAAAGATTAACGTGGCAAAGTTAAAAATCTAGTATGTTAAACTAATAATGTTTTTACCCCAGACTTTCACGAATTTAAAAGTAGAGTAAGAGCAAAAACCAAAAAAAAAAAAAAGATCGGGACATTAGATTTTAGTTTAGTGATGCAACAGAAGTACTAATAACAGTTCAAATTTCTCAAAGAAGGTGCCAAGATACCTTTTTTTATCTTTTATTTTGTTCAATACTGCCTTGGCAAAAACACTAATAAAGAATTGGTTGGAATATTCAATAGCAATCTCTTCACCGAGGCTAATATAAACGGGAACAAATAAACTCGAGGCACTGTATGAAAATAGACAGTCTTCATAGACGTATTTTCCAAAATAGTGTTCTTCTCGTAGGGGCTAGGTTATTTTAATATAGTTTTTTTTAATTAAATAAGGTATTTAGTTAGAATATAATTTATACACAGTAACTTATCTGAAGGGTTACATCCCTTCAGAAAAAAATGGTGTTGTTATTTACCTTTTTTTTATGTATTTTATAAATATGGTATAGTCTTATGGTAATTTGACTTTTCAGTTTAGGGCTTTCCACTTTTATAGTAATATAGATAGATGATAATGACAAGTAACTTTATTTAATTTTCGCATTGATTGATATACTAAAATAAATATAAATAATTTATTATAAAAGTTAAATTGTAGAAAAAATATGATCTAATAATATAAATAATTATATTACTAATGTATATAACTTAAATTCATTTTATGAGTAGTTTGAAATTTTTACACGATATTCATACATATATTGACCCAGAAATATGTCACAGATTTATTTTATATATATTGACAATGTAAATAGGTTTTAAATTATTAGTATAATTTAATTTGTTGTAGTAAGTTGTCAAGTAACTAGTTACTTTTATTATTTACATAATTCGTATAGTATATAAAAAAAAAAATTAACTCTGTCCACATTAACTCATGTTATCATTCTCAAACTCGAATATAGGAGGAGGGTTGCGATACGTTGGCAATAAGCGTGAAAATAATCAATTCATAAAAAATAAAAATATGATTAATGAAAATCCATACATTTGACTCAACTTATTTGGTACTACAATGTAATTATTATTATATTATTACTATTATTGTTGTTGTTGTTGTTGTTGATTGTATAAAACAATTTTCCACTATCGATGCATATGAGAGGTATAAACCCAGCGAAAGACAACTGAAGTGCTCAAACAGCCATTTTAGGGATACTATTTAAGGATTTTCTTATGTTGTTCTGAAGATTTGAACTAAAAATCTTAATTTCAAGATAATTTAGGATATTTGTGTACGGGAAAGATAAACTGGAAAACTAAAAATCAGGATACATTAGCTAATTCCTAAATAGCACCCCGTTAAAATGGCTATTTGGTGTTATCATTTATCGGCTTATAAAGTAGTAATCTGCTAGCCATGCAATAAGACATGGGACGGATTGGTATCGAATTGGTTTATCTGCTAAATCGAATAGACAATAAAAAAGAAATAGAGAACTAGAAAATATGTCACTTTCCCACAGAAATCATGTGCTAGATTACAAAGACAACTTACCACATCCTTGGTTTCTTTTTGGTAATTACAACTATCTCGACCATAAGAAACTAAACATTATTTCAATCAATCTGGTAAGTGCTGTTAGAAAGCTGGTTTGAATAAGGAAGGAGATGACTGACGAGATTGGGATTTGGGAGAAAATTTAATTAGAGATTTTAGTCTTTATGTGATAGAGAAGAGGAAAGAGAGGGGTTAATTTCACTGATGGTCACTCAACTATCTTTTAATTTCACTAAAGTCACTTAATTATTTTTTGTCACTTAAAAGGAACTAAACTTTCACATTGTCACTTAAAAGTCATTTTGGCTCAAACCCCTACCATAAATATGACATGACATAAAATTTAATGAGAAAAATCCAAAAATAAATGCCACATAAGCTTAAATGGATCTTACCCACTTTAGACCAATTTCTTCCTTAATGTGATTTGACCCATAACCCAAATACTTTCAATAAAAAAAATATTAAATTTCACATTCGTTTAAAATGATTATCCTATACTACAAAATTCTTGCCTTTTCTATTACATAATGCCCATTTATAGTTATTCTATACTAAAAAAAATCTTGTCTTGTTTGTATGCCCCATCCGAGTCGTTTTATAACTATACTGAAGTTAAAATACTACTGTATCCAACTCACATAGCATATTTATAATTTTCTAGTAAAATTAAAATAGTATTGTATTCATCTTACATAACATATTAATATATCATAAGCATAAATGAATAATAATAAGGCTAATAAGAGTCTATTTTCACAATGAACATGCACTTACAGACAACCTATTGTAATTGTTTAGAAATATTGTATTTGTACGATAAAAACCACACAAAAAATCACAAGAACTAATTTTATTAGGGGTGTGTGTTTTTTCCCCTATTGAAACCCATTTTGGTTTATGGGTCAAATCACATTAAGGGAGAAATGAATTTAAAGTGGGTATGGTCCATTTAAGCTTATGTGGCATTTATTTTTTGAATTTTTCTCATTAAATTTTATGCAATGTCATATTTATGGTATGGGTTTGAGCCAAAATGACTTTTAAGTGATAATGTCAAAGTTTAGTTACTTTTAAGTGACAAAAAATAATTGAGTGACTTTAGTGAAATTGAAACATAATTGAGTGACCATCAGTGAAATTAACCCGGAAAGAGAGAGATGACTCACGGTAGGAGGGGTGCTTGAAATTAACCCGGAAAGAGAGAGATGACTCACGGCAGGAGGGGTGCTTATCGGCTGCTATTGAAATTTGATAAATTAAGGATTTAGATTTTAGGCCTTAGGGTTATAAAAATTATTTTATATACATAGGGGTAAAAGTATAAAATAAAAATTATTAACGGGTTAACGGTTTATCCGATAAGGAATTGAGTAATATACCCCCAAACTGTTTAGCCGTTAATTATAAAATTTCAATCCTTCACCAACAATTAACCCGATAACCCGATATCAATAAGCCGATAAGTCTTTTTTCACTTTGATTAACGCTTATTCGGTTAACGCTTACGGTTCGATTTTAAACAGCTCTAGTTCTTATATTAAAAAGGGGCTAATAGAGGATTTACGTTTGTCGATGATTATGTTGTGTTAGTATACTGTATTTGTAAAATAATTCTGGAGAAAATAAAAGAATATATAAACAGAAGTTAATCCGAGCCCACTGAATTCATAGTGTTTCCTTAAGGAATTTAACCCCCTCCTAGTACCCAAGGTTGTGGATTATTTCCTCCCAGAAAATCGTATGGAAAATCTGCGAGAATTGACTGGTATTTATAGCGTATGTTGAGCTCAAAACTAAAGAGGTGCAACTCTTCAGAATGACTGTTTATGTAAAACGGCCATAACATAAATGCCATAATATAAATGGCGGTGCAACTCTTCAGAATGACTGTTTATGTAAAACCGCCATAACATAAATGCCATAATATAAATGGCTATTTACGCAACAATAAACCGGGAATTGAAGAGGGAGGTTAATTTTCAGTTACAAAACCGAAAAACTGAGCGGAAGCCGAGCGACGACGACGGCGCGAGGCTTGCCTTGTTCTTAACTCTTTAAGAGCTAGAATAAGTGTAATTGTATATATACCCATCAAAAACTTTTTCCTCTTCCAATATGGGGCAATGTCCATTTGTCAAGGAGCCTAATTTAGCTTAAAACCTCAACGTGTTGTCTACACACAGTAGAAAGATTAAACGGCCCGCAATCCAAAAATGGGAGCTGCCAAAATTTGTGACTATGTCAGAAGACTTTGCAGTACGTTCTGCCAATGTGTTCCTCTTCTGTCATTGTTTTATCTGAATCTGCACAAAAGCCACATTATGAGCAGAGAATATTAAAATCAACAAAAAGTTACTAGAGAAGATAAAATATCAAAATATTGGTCTGTCATGGACCTCAAAATCTCACCTCCCAAGAATATTGCTAGCAAAAAAGACTGCTATAATGGTGGTACACTTTTCTTCCGAAAGATAAAATCTTTTAAATTTTACTATCTATATTAATTATCTCATTATATTCTTCTTTTTGTTGTTAATTTCGTGCAGTGACAAATGGAGAAGAAGGGAAATGTTCCACTGAACTTGGGTTGAATCTTGAGCTTAGCCAACATGGTGGCAATCATGAATATACTAGTAACTATTCAAAGTTTAATACTAGTGGATATGGATTTACATTCCTACAGAGGCAAGAATTAGAGCAACAATTTTTCATCTACAAGTACATTGAAGCTGGGATACCTATTCCCTCTCATCTTATTATTCCTATATTCAAGTCTATTACTTGCTCTTTAAAAGGTCTTCATAATGGTATCTATCCACATTATCCCAATTGTAAGTTTCCACCTATACTCTTAGTATAGAATTTTTTCCTTGTTCTTTTTTTTTTTGGATGGAATTGGATCCAAAGTTAAACCCAAAAAATATTTCTACTTTGGTTTAATAAACATGGAGAGTGATGTGTTAATGTTGTTATAAGGTTTAGTTCCTTCTTGGAGTTGAATGTCAAGATTTACTCTTTGAGAGTCAATCGATTTTGTCTCTCATTGACAATCTCGTGGAACTTGAGTGTCTATATGGCTATTCTGCATATATATAGCTTTATCCTTTAAAAGCAAAAATTAAGCCTCGTTGCTCATGTGCATACAACTAAACCAAAAGTCACGTCTAATATGGGCTATGTTTTACTCCGGCATGTCTAAATATTAGTCGACTTGACGTATTATTATTTAAGTTAGTGGAATGTTAATTAAGTGAGACGTTTAAGAGACTGATACATGGTAGTTTAGACAATAAAATGGACCAAATGTAAGAAAATTTGTTGTGTTTTTGCAGTACCAGACACAACCACTTTCACCATTGCACTACCAATAAACTAGTAATAGTGGCTCAAGAGAAGAGATGTATAATTCTTCAAGGGATTTGGGGTTTACTTTGGACAAACGATTTCTCTTTTTTCTTTTATGGTATATCTAGTTACGATTTAATATAGGGTTCAATTGATTTCGAAACATATGTAACAAGCTCGATAATGATGCTACATGTTTTTTTGTGACGATGGTGATTGAATCGACAGATAAAAGAGAAACCCAGTGTAATAACAACAACAAACCAATGTCTTTTTTATTTGAAATAACATCTCTATCTTTTTAAGGTAGGGGTAAGGCTGCATTCACTCTATCCTCCCCAGACCCCATTTTGTGAGGTTAGACTGAGTTTGTTGTTGTTCTTCGTGGAGGTAACACACGCGCACCTCAATTATTTCACCTGATAGCTCTCCCTATTTAGATAGTTGCAAAGAAATTTAGTCTTCAAAATTTATACTTATCTCATTTATTATTGAGTCACACCCTTGAGGACGACAATGATTCTACTTGTTATTGAAGGCACTAACAATATTGATTAAGCTTTCCTTCGTAATTTAGCAAATTGAAGAGGCCAATTACAATGATGTTCTTGATTGTGTCTTTTAATGTGACGACCCAAAGGGTCATTACTTGTTTCCTTATTTATCCTGTGCTTTTGAGGCCTTGAAAACCTCATTTGGGGTTGCCTCGATTTGCGTGCGCAGTCCGGGCGCGTAGCCGCAAAGCTTAAATATGAATTCTGTGAGAAAAATGCTAAATTTTGATATTAAATTGATTAAATTTGACTTCGGTCAACATTTTGGGCAAACAGACCCGGACCCGTAATTTGACGGTCCCGGAGGGTCCGTAGGAAAATATGGGACTTGGGCGTATGCCCGGAATCGAATTCCGAGGTCCCAAGCCCGAGAAATAAATTTTTGTGTGAAATTATTTTCTGAAAATAATTAAGGAAATTGGAAATGATATTTGATTAAAAGACTATGGTATCGGGCCCGTATTTTGGTTTCGGCGCCCGTTACAACTCTTATATATGGTTTAAGCGCTTTCTGTAAAGTTTGGTTGAAAACGGACGTCGTTTGACGTGTTTCGGACTTAAAACTCTAAATTTGAAAGTTTATGAAGTTTGAAGAAAAACTTGTGATTTTGAGGTTTGATTCGTTGTTTTGATGTCATTTTGGCGATTTGATCGCACGGTTAAGTTCATAGGAAGTTGTTGAATTAGTGTGTGAGTTTGGTTAGGAGCCCCGAGGGCTCGGGAGTGTTTCGGGGTGGTTTCAAACTTAGAAAAATTGCAGAAACTGAGCTTCAGCTGTTGCAGACAAATTCTTCTTCGCGTTCGCGACGCCTCTTCCACGTTCGCGAAGCCTTTAGTATTTCCTTCATCGCATTCGCATACACTGGACCGCGTTCGCGTAGTTTCCCGGCCTCCCTTCGTCGCGATCGCGTGTGGTCTCACGCGTTCGCGTAGACCAAATTTCTGGACCCCCAGCCTTTCCTCTTCGTGTTCGCAGCCTTCCCATCGCGAACGCGATGCCTTGCCAAGTTTACCCTTCTTCAGACCTTGTATGTAGTAAATCTTAGATAGTCTGTGACACTGTGACACCAGTTCTTGGGTAGAGGCTTATGTTGTATTTCCGCATTTTTATTCAGTTTCTTTAATTTAAGACTTTCGCTTAATAATTAAATTCCATCGTTGGCATGCGATTGCTGATATTGTTAAATGAGGTAATGTGTTAATGAAAAAGGTAATTAAGGTTTGGCTTGCCTAGCTCCCACTAGTAGGCGCCATCACGACTCCCGAGGATGGGAATTTCGGGTCGTGACAAGTTGGTATCGGAGCTCTAGGTTACATGGGTCTCACAGTTCACAGACAAGCTTAGTAGAGTCTGAGGGATCGGTACAGAGACGTCTTTATTTATCCCCCAGAGGCTACAGAGTTAGGAAAAGTTTCACTTCTATTCTTTCCTGTCGTGCGATTTTGTTCTCTCAGTGCTAAATTGAAACCTCTACTCTAGTCCTTTCGCGAATGGCGAGGTCACGTACTGCTTCTTCAGCCGAACAACAGCACAGACCGGTGGTAGATCGGCGACGTCTTCGGAGGCTTTGTAGAGGTTAGATAAGTTTCGCCAAGTTTTTCACTACTACATTCAGTGGTGCATCTACCGAGGGTCCCCAGGAATTATCTAGGCAGCTGTCATGAGGTTCTCAGGGACATAGGGATCGTGGAGACCAATGAGGTCGATTTTGCTACTTTTCGCTTGTCTGGATCTGCCGAGACCCGTTGGAAAGATTATTGCTTTATACCAGCTAGGTCCACAGCTTCGACTTGAGGACAGCTCACGCAGCTATTTCTGGAGAAGATTCTCCCCATCATTTAGAGAGAGGCCTATCGGAGGCAGTTTGAGCGTCTCCAGCAGGGTTCTATGGCTGTTACTCAGTATGAGACCAGGTTCATTGATCTAGCTCGTCATGCTCTTGTCATACTTCCCACCGTGAGAGAGAGTGAGGAGGTTCATGAGGGACTCGTCCAGCCCGCTCAGTTAGCTGGAGGTGGAGGTAGAGGTATTAGAGGTGGAGGTAGAGATGCTAGAGGTGGAGGTAACGGTATTAGAGGTGGAGGTGCAGGTATGGTTCTAGTTTGTGATAGAGATACTTCGGTGTTATTTGATCCTATTCTACACTCTGTCTGGTCATGCCTAGTGATTCACTGAGTATTCCTGTTTATGTGTCTACACCGGTGAGTGATTCTATCGTGGTTGATCGAGTTCATCGTTCTTGTGTTGTGGTGATTGGGGGTCTCGAGACTCGTGTAGATTTGTTGCTCTTAAACATGGTCGACTTCGATGTTATATTGAGGATGGACTGGTTATCCCCGTTCATGATATTTTGGACTGCCATGCCAAGACCGTGACCTTAGCTTTACCGGATTTGCCCCATTTAGAGTGGAGAAGGTCTCCATGCCACTCTACCTGCAGTGTTATTTCGTACGTGAAGGCTCGGTGTATGGTCGAGAAGGGGTGTTTGGCTTATTTGGCTTATGTGCGCGATTCCAGTGCTGAGGTTCCCTCTATTGATTCGGTGTCGTGGTTCGTGAGTTTCCTGAGGTTTTCCCTTCAGATCTGCCGGGGATGCCACCCGACAGGGATATTGATTTCTGTATTGATTTGGCTCCGGGCACTCAGCCCATTTCTATTCCGCCATATCACATGGCCCCGCCGGAGTTGAAAGAGTTGAAGGAGCAGTTGCAGGACTTGCTTGAGAAGGGTTTCATTAGACCCAACGTTTCGCTGTGGGGTGCGCCGGTGTTGTTTGTTAAGAAAAAGGATGGTTCGATGAGAATGTGTATTGATTACCGGCAATTGATCAGGGTTACAATCAAGAATAAGTATCCACTGCCGAGGATTGATGATTTGTTCGACCAGCTTCAGGGTGCCGAGGTATTTTCAAAGGTTGATTTGAGATCTGGCTACCATCAGTTGAGGATTAGGGCATCTGATGTCCCTAAGACAGCTTTCCGCACTCGGTACGGGCATTGTGAGTTCTTGGTTATGTGATTCGGGTTGACAAATGCCCCAGCAGCTTTTATGGACTTGATGAACCGAGTGTTCAGGCCTTATTTGGACTCATTTGTGATAGTCTTCATTGATGATATATTGATATACTCCCGCAACCAGGAGGAGCACGAGCAGCACCTCAGAGTGGTTCTTCAAACTCTGAAGGATAGTCAGCTATATGCAAAATTTTCGAAGTGTGAGTTTTGGTTGAGTTTAGTTGCATTCCTGGGTCATGTCGTATCAACAGAGGGTATTCAGGTTGACCCGAAGAAGATTGAGGCAGTCAAGAACTGGCCTAGACCAGCATCAGCTACAGAGATTCGGAGTTTCTTGGGATTGGAAGGCTACTATCGTCGGTTCGTGGAGGGGTTCTCATCTATTGCAGCCCCGATGACCAGGTTGACCCAGAAGGGTGCCCAGTTCAAATGGTCGGACGAGTGTGAGGCGAGCTTTCAGAAGCTCAAGACAGCTCTGACTACGACACCGGTATTGGTTTTGCCCACAGGTTCGGGGCCTTATACAGTCTATTGTGATGCTTCCCGTATTAGGCTTGGTGCAGTGTTGATGCAGGATGGCAAGGTCATTGCCTATGCTTCGAGGCAGTTGAAGATTCATGAGAAGAACTATCCAGTGCATGATTTGGAGTTGGCAGCCATTGTTCACGCATTGAAGATTTGGAGGCACTATCTGTATGGCGTGGCATGTGAGGTGTTCACTGATCACTAGAGTCTTCAGTACTTGTTCAAGCAAAAGGAGTTGAATTTGCGGCAGAGGAGGTGGTTGGAGTTGCTGAAGGATTACGATGTCACCATTTTGTATCATCCGGGGAAGGCCAATGTGGTGGCGATGCTTTGAGTAGGAAGTCAGCCAGTATGGGCAGTCTTGCTTATGTTCCGGTCAGTCAGAGGTCG